TGCTCACTTGCACACATACATATACACATTTGAGAGAGCAGAGAGCATCGCGAGAGAGGAAGAGCAAGGGAACATTGAGCATAGAGGGATCTTTTTTATAATAGTCGACCGTCTCGGTCGAGCGCATAAAATGAAATGATTGTGCTTTCGTATTTTTTCGTAGCCCGAACCTAAAAGTGAGGAGCCGAGCAAATAGTGTGCAAAACGCTTTACACTACAAGTCCGGTCTATGTGTTCTCTGGTTAGTGTCTGTACACATAGAATAAACGATGAGTGTGTGTACACGTATTGGAAAATTTACCTGATCTGCTTGTAGCCGGTATTAAGAACGTAACAAAAATCCGAACTGGAATTTATCCTCGGGTTGACAGTTCAAAATCAATTAAATTTGGTAACGTCCGACTGCAACGTTCTTATTTTAAATATATACAATACATGCTGAATTTCCTCGTATGTAAAATCGTGTGTACTAAACCATCTTCAATGTGGTTCGTATTCAATATATTGACAGGTGGGACCCGCAGCATCTCTTTGTGGTGTAGTGTCGTCGCTGGTTGCACTCCTCTTATGGATGCACTGGAAGCATGTGCAAAAGCCATACATGTCGTTATTTAAGATGTTGCTTTTGACAACAGTTCTTTTCGGAATTGGTACACTGCCGTATCAACTAAATTTTGCTGGACTTCTGGCTGGGTTTGCATGTGGTACATTTCTTACAATAGCGTTGGTACCATTTGCGTCTTTCACCAAGTACAGGCGCAGGAAAAAGGTAAATAATTACTATAATTTGAATAGGGTGCAAAAGTTAATAAAAAATCGTCTCGTGTCCACTCAATATTGCCAGATAAATCTTATTTGGACATGCCTGCTGTTCCATTTCTTTATGTATATGACTCTGGTGACAACTTTTTACATTTACCCCAGCGAATTTAACACGTTTAGCTTTGTGGATGATATATTCGGGAGCAATAATGGCAAAAAATACATTATTCCTACAAACAGTAATATAGGCCAGCACCATGGCGAGGTAAGCAGCACAACCCGCAGATATTCCCAGACACAAAAGCCTCAATATTATTATCACCATCACTCGGAAGACATAATCAGGAATACCGTAGCATATTCTGAAGTCAATACCAAATCGGTAAATA